TATGTTGAGTATTTAGAAGTATTTCTTTTCCTGAATTTTTGATGCCGGTTCAATCATTATTTCTTCTCTTACATGCTTTTAGATTTTATTAACTTAGCTCTTCTGTTTGATATCTGAATGAATATGGACGAAGATCAGGAGTCGAATGCTTCGGAAAAGTATCAGATTTGCTCTATCTGTCTCGTTGAAGAAATCCATTTGTGCTTTGAACAGTTTTTTGCTCTTTTATGAACCAGTTACACCCGATAAGATCTAACAAATAGACAAGATTGTGTAGAATAACCGCGCGATGCAATGATGATTTGAAAGCGCTGCATAGTACCGCACGATTGCGTTTGACAAAGTTCGTGATTGGTGTCTTGTACGCTCTAACTTTAGATAATACTTGATCAGAATCAACCGACAATAACATGATGGAAAGAAAAGAAAAAAAATCATTCGATCGATCATCGTTGTCCTCGCCGAGTACATCAATTGATTATGAAGTTTTGGTTGATAAGTCGAACAACGATCACAACAACGATGTCACGCCGAACGAAGCTCAAAAGTCTTCATCCTTTTTATCGGACGATCAGTTTGTGTCACAAATCATCAAAGTTCTTGATTTAAATGACGATTCAACTGAATCAAAAATGCTTGCTAAACAGTTAATCGTAAAAGGTCGTCAAGCTTTGCCTGAATTTGAGGATGATATTGCACATGATGTGTATAAAACACAAATAAATAAAGATGGCAGTGAATTATTAAAAGTATTAAAGAACTACACAGAACAACAATGGCAGTGGAACACTGAAACATGGCTCCAAACATGCCGTTGTGGGAACGGCTCTTAGTTCTACTCTACTGGATGCCATATAAACGAAAAGTTTTCATTGTTATTCAGACTCCGTAAAAACTCGACTTTTAGAAACCCTTAAAAAAAAGAAAACGACGTTTCATATTGTTTCGCGTTTTCCTCGAAACCTACTTTTCTGCGGAAAAAGTCTTGAATGATAAATGAATGATTCGATGTTGCATTCTGCCAGCGTATGATGGACGATCTTCCAAAAAAATCGGGAAAGTAGCCGTTGATTGAAAGACAATTAATAAGCAACATACTTAAAAATGTTCTGTTTATTGTTTGACTTTCCGAATTTTCTGTTAAAAGTCTCAACAATCTGTTGGCTTCTTGCTCTAACTTTTATAATGGCACACAGTTAGCTTAATCATCTAAAATATATATCCCGTTTTTCAACAGATTCAATCTGACAATCTGGATATTTTATAAGCCATGTAGTGGTATTAAGTTTGCACAGTTAATTGATATTAAATATGTCCGTTCATGTAGTAAGTCTCTCGAAGAGTCGTAACATGATTTAATTGTTTGCCATACAATTAAGGATTTAGAGTTTGCGCCCTATGAACTGCTATGAGACTGAGAAAGGAAAAAGTTGCAATTAAATGAGATTTTACTGGTTAACCCTTTAACGGGCGAATTTTGGATAGCGAAGTTCTGTTGCTGCCGATGCTGCAGTCAGGTAGGCCGTGGCTTAGACTATCATGCACGTTGATCGGGTCAACAATATTGAGGTACTGCACGCG